CTGAAGAGTATAGGTAAGAGTGGAATTCACAGGCCACTTTCATTTCTCTCTGTTCAGTCACCGGCCACCAATTGCCGCCTAGAGATGAAGGTGATAGCAGTCTATTTGTTGGGTGTGCAAACCCAATCCCACATCGAAAAATTAAATGTTTCAAGTCCAATATATAAGCTTAGTGGGCTACTCCCTCTATTGCCAATTGGTTTTAGAGTGGAACCCCATTTGGGCTTGTATGTTGGGCTTGATGGAGAACTGGGTTTTGAATTGTTGATCCTAACAAGTGGTATCAGAGCACGGTTGGTAGCCCAGTTACGATGTGGATGACGTGGCATGTTCCCCATGGAACCGGAAGGGCCGGTAGATCCGTGTTCCTTGTGTCGAAAGTCTTCCTAGCAAAAGGGTGTGGTCAGGCGGCAGGTTCCGTGGATGATAACAACGGTACAAGATGGTCGGATCGTATGAATTTCGTTTAAGGGGAGGCCCAATGTGGTCTTGTGTTTGAGGGGAGGTTTGTTGGGTGTGCAAACCCAATCTCATATTGAAAAATTAAATGTTTCAAGTTCAATATATAAGCTTAGTGGGCTACTCCCTCTATTGCCAATTAGTTTTAGAGTGGAACCCCATTTGGGCTTGTATGTTGAGCTTGATGGAGAACTGGGTTTTGAAGCGTTGATCCTAACACTATTTGCTCGCCGTGTTGGGAGGTAACGCCGCCCCTTCCGCCGACGATGTGAAGAACATCCTCTCCTCCGTTGGAGCTGAAGCTGATGCCGATAGAGTTGAGCTTCTTTTATCGCAAGTGAAGGGAAAAGATATTACAGAGCTAATTGCTGTTGGACGTGAGAAGCTGGCCTCTGTACCTTCTTGCGGTGGTGTCGTTGCAGTTGCCACATCAGTATCTGGCGGTGCAGCTGCTCCAGCTGTGGTGGAGACTATGAAAGAAGAGAAAATGGAGGAGAAAGAGGAATCAGATGATGATTTGGGCTTCAGCCTCTTCGACTAGACAATTGTGGTTTCTATATAAAATATCTATGTGGTGTAGTTTCCCTTCGTTAGTTCCTCTGTTTTATGCTTTTTAGAAACGGACTTTGACCTTGTTTTTTATGACCTTTCTGTATGCTGATTTGGAGATAGAAATATGGAATGCTCAATGCAGGTTAACTCATTGTTGGGAGTACCTTCTTTTTTGTGGCTCAACTGATTCGAACTTCGCAATTTTGTTTGAATGTTAAATGTTGATTATAATGAAAATCACTTTCTTATTAAAAAAAAAAAAAGTGGATCTGTTGGGGGATGGTTTCGTTGGTGATGGATTTGATGAAGATTAGGGTTCCGATGACGGGGGCCACCGCCATCAAGGTCTTGTCTGCGGAGGGGAGGGATAAAGACCATTGTATTATGTTACTTTAATCTAATGGTCCAAATTTTATCTTTTTTTTTTTTCTAATCGCACAACATAATAAAATAACTTCTTGAATACATTTTTCACTTCCAGCCTCTTGAACATGTTGTAGCAAAATTAAACAGTTTTATTAACGGTAAAAAATTAAAATTAAAATATATTAACTGTTCTTTAGAATTTATTTATTTACTACTGACAACTATGATTATTTCTTATCATTTTTTATTTTGTTTTCTTTCTATAATGTAAATCTTGTACAATATATTTTATTGTACAGTATGCTAAATAAACTATAAATCCTTATTGTCAACAACCGACCTGGTAATTCGGATTAATCGGGCACACTTCATGATTATCGCCGATGATCACAACTCTTTTTCACTTCGGATTGAACCAAGACCGAGGTCCGACCGTCTGAACCGGATTGCGAGTCACAACCAAAGTCATATAAATTTCCCGAACATAACTCAACCGAGATCATCAAAAACCAAGGTCACCAAAACCAAAGCAGGTGATGAGACGCCTACACAACATGTTTTCATACCACAAGCTACTTCATCATTTCTGCCGCCCATCAAAAAGCCACTTTATAAAAAGTTGTCGTACAAGGATCATACTCTGGACATTCATATATACACAACAGCTCAAACAACTTTCACCTCTGTTCACCTCGGACAGGGGCCATTGTCTTTGTTTTTATGCATGCTTTACGTTCATCTTAATATAAATCAACATTTAATTCAGCTTTGAGACGTTGTTAATAATCACATAACAACACTTATAATACTAATTAGAAGAATCTTGATTATAGAAGGGATTAAGTTTTTGGCATTTGCTAAATCAACGTTGTTTAATATGTATACAAAATTAAATTCTAAAAACCATGTGTGTATATTTTGTAAATATTTATACACTATTTAATTCTAAATTTATTTACACATTTTAAATTTATTACATAAATAAATAATACTAACGTGCATTAAATATTTTTCATTACATAAAACAAAAGGAAAAAGAAGGCGTACAACTTTTTTACTTTTGTAAATTATAATTACAAAGTTTATAATAAAATAACAATTAAGTATTATATGGCGAACAAGAATAGGTATAACAATTATTTTTTCTTACATCAAGGAATAAAATTATATACTAAAATCAAATTTATATTAGTATAAATGTATTAGTAAAATAATATATAAATCATTTTACAAGTTAGCCCTAACATGCTCGTATTTAATGTTTTGGCTAAAAAAACAACGCTGATTAAAAGAGGTGGAAAATATATTATAACCCTATTATTTTTTAGACCTTAACGCTGATTAATAGAGTTGGAAGATGATAACCCTGTTGATTTTTAGACTTAAACGAACAAAGCTGTGATAATAACTAATTTAATATCTTTGTCATGTGCATCGCACAAGGTATGTACTAGTTCTTATCTATATATATTGAAAGAGATTGATAGAAAAATCATTTGTGGAAAGTTGATTAAAAAAACCGGTCAAAACCTTTGAATTACATTTTTAGTAATCCGATTTAAATTTACATTTTTTATGACTTGTGATCTTCACGTGTTTAATATATATGATTTGCTAATTTTAAATTATTTATAGTATAAAATATGTATACCCTTTTGCGATATTTCAAATTATTTATGGTACAGATTTTCTATGCAAAATTTGCTTAAACTTCGGTTCCATTTGCAGGGTATCTATTAATATTTTAAATCATTTATAAATTAGAATATTATTTGTAATTTGAATATTATTTATAATCAATCAAATAAAACTTAATGTATTATTTTTTTCACAAACACATTGGGCTACTATAATCAAACATATATCGAAATATTCTCTTATAAAAATCTTATAATTTTTAATTAACATGCATAAAATGACACAAATTAACAAAAATGTAATCCGAAATTTTGATTTACATATTTGACTAATTATCAATCCAACATTCAAATTTACATACTAATAAATAACGAACTTATTTATTTAAACAATCGTATGAACGAATGATAAATATAAATCTATTTCAATCAAATTTAATTTTGCCTATATTGTTCATTAATTAAATAAACCACATGTCAAAGAATTCGCATACCATCGGATAATAAAAAAAGCTAATGCATTGGTACCACATTTTTAGGGAACACACTAATAACAAAAAAAATATCATTCTTAAAAAATATTTTATATTTTGATTACAATATCAGATTCAATTATATCTACGAAATTTTGTTACATAATTTTAAGGAAATTCAGTTAAAGCAATTCTTAAAGGACTAGATTTTTTTTTTTCATTTTATGTTAGTAAAAATCTAGGCAGATAGTAAAATATGTCTCATTTAAAAGATTCATTCAAAATAAGTCAAATCGAATGGAAACATAACAAATTTTGAATAATTTTTTTAATTAGAACCATATATCACATTTAACATAAATAATTACATCTATATAAGTATTCAGTTGCACAAATCATTTACCACATCTTTTAGTATTTTTTTTTCAATCCCTAATCTATATCCGACTACTTCCATTTTTTCACCATATCAATATGCCGCTCGTGTAGTGTTTTTTTAATTCGGTTTCTATAAAAACAAGCTATGCTTGACATTGAGGGTTGTTTATATATTTGAAAGAAAATTCGAAGATAGTCGGAAATAAATGTCAATGATGAAGAGATATATATATTTTTTTGTCATTTTTTATTTATTATTATCGATTCCATATGCTAAAATTATTGAAAAATTATTAGTCTATGGTGACGATGACTCGCCACCAAATCAAACCAAAACGTTGTTTATAAGACAATATTCAATAATTTATGAATTTTTTTATTTGTCGACATGTTTACATTTGTTACATATATACCAAGTCTATTAAATTTAATATTCAATATTAAAAAAGTTTTAGAAAATATATCATCTCGTGCATGCACGGGCCACGACTAGTTATATAGATATAGATATTTTGATAATATATAAAATTCATTACTTATTGGTTATTTTATTAACTTTGTTCAAATATATAGTAAATTAATAATCGTTTTACAATTTTGAAGCATAACACTCATAGTAAGACTATAAAATTATTATTTATTTATTCATTAGGTAATATTTTTTTTCATAAATTATTTGTATATCTTATATCGACATTGGTTGAGTCGATTTTGTCATTTTTATAGTGTAAGTTTTATATGCTTTGAATTTATCAGGTATAATAACTTACTCCCCATGGAAGCTTCTCTTTGGCCCCTTTTTCTTCACAGAACGAAAAAAACCCTCGTCCCTAACCTCCCCATCGTCTTTCGATCTGCAGGTGTTGGCCTTCCTTAGCAGGCACCGTGCTTCACCGGCGGTCGCTGGCCCTGGCGCTTGGATCCCCACCCCATTTTTTCCGCTCCTCCTTCCGATTTCAACGGAGCAGGGCCCCGTCTCTCGAGGATGGTCCCCGTCAATTTCTGCGTCGGCCTATGATTTCAGGTTGGTTGCTTCTCCATTGTGCGGTGGCGGAGCCGAGATGCTATTTTGGGGGCGGGACGTGGCCCGATTTCTCGGCGACGTGGTTGTTGGGAGATTGGGGCGGCGCTGCTGCTCAAGGCCGCCTCCTCCCGGTACTCAGATTTAGGGTCAAGGAGGGTCGTCGCGTTCTTCTTCTAGCAGTGGTGTTGGTCGGGGAGGTGCTCCAGCGGTATGGTGGGTTTGGGCAGATTCCAAGTGTTTTGGAGTCGGGGCTGGGGCCGTGGCTTTCTTGCTTATTCGGGGCAAATTGGTGTTGTGATCGTGGTGAAGGTTGACTTGGTGGTGTTCCGGGGCTGGAGTTTGGACACAGTTAGGCAACCGAGTGGTTTTGGCAGTTTCGGGGTCGGTGCTTCTGGTTGCGGAATTCACGGTTGACTTGATTCCGCTGGTTCGGTAAGGTGTTGCAGATTTGGAAGGGCTCGTTCAGTTGTGTAGTTTTTGTTTTGCTGGTAGTTTAGGGCTTGATTGTTTACCAATTATTTTACTCATTTTTATTTCAACTCAAAATTTAACTCAACTTTAACTCAACCCCACTATCTTTAATATTATTCATATAATTAAATAATACAAACCAATCATTCTTACATATTACATCAACTTCAATTCACTATTCATCCACTCACATAATTTTAACTACCTATCATTTCCATCATTTATTTCTTACTTTTACATCAAATCAATTTTAATCAATTTATTTTAAATATTTTTTCAATACATTCTTAAAATTTCACTAACAACTAACCATACGTCTTTTTCAAAAGTAACTATGGTTAACCAAAATAACTAATTTTGAACAAATTATTTCATAAACAATTAAGCCCTTAGTGTCTTTTTATTGTTTTCGTTTGTTTTGAGTCTGTGTTAGGTTGTGTTTTTTGGTCTGGGTATTTACCTGAGTGTTTGTTCTGTTTTTTTAGTCTGGGCCGTTGGCCTCAATGTGAGCGGGAGAAAATTTATTCTCTTATGGGGAACAACACTTGTCTCTATTCTCCTGTTGGGAGCTTTTCATTATAGTTTTTGTGATTTGTGGTGTTCTTGTTTCGTGAGTCTTTCCGGTTTCTAGCGTTGCTAG